AAGGCAAGGTGTTTCGGCAGTGGTTTGCCAGGGCCTCCTTCCTAGAGCAGAGCCCAGCTGGCGAGCGCAGGAGGCGGGGTTTCCGTTGCTTCGCACCTTTTTCGGGCATCCGCAGCTTCCGCGCTACCAGCAACTGCTCCCGACTCCTTTTGCAAGGCGCCGCCAGCATTTTTCCTTTCACCGGAGTGAGAGTACTCATTTATCTACTCACGTAAGTTTTCGATCTGCTGGGTTGACAGGAGCTGGGGAGGAAGCAGGAGCTCACTCTGCTACGCGAAGGCTGGGCTCGAACCGCTGAAGTGTCGATCATTTCTGGCCAGCAACTTTCAGCGTCATTAAGCTGCTGCGCCACCGCATCCCCCACAGAGTAGTAAATAAACCTTATTTATACTGTCTTTTAGAATAGTATATGGGCTAAACGAACAGGTAATACCAGCCCAAAACAGGCTGCTACTTGAACTAGAGTCCAAATCCCTCCTTGTTTCCTCCTGATTCTCTCCACATAATGACTTCAACCCTAACCCCATCCTCTGTAGCCCATTACACAGCTGACTACATGGGAGAATTTAGCCCCTTACTGACTATACAGTGTATTTTATTTATACACACATTGCATGCAGCCTACTCCATATATCAGTCATGAGGTTAGAGGCATGAATAGGGCTTCCAGAAGATGAATAAGAATTATCAGCTAACCCCCCAGATTTTACCATTCCGGAGGCCAGAGTAGAGGAAGAGACATCCCAAGTAAGGAATTGCTAGTTTTATTTCTGAAACTTTTAGCATAACTAGTTCATGCCTTTTTAAAAAGCTATTTGAATATTGAATATCAATGTATAGTTTACAAGATGCATGCAGTGGGCAATTCTAATCTACATAATTCTAAGTGGTGTGCCCAGCGTAAGTCCACAGAGCTCAAGAGACTGTACTGAGCAAATCAATGTGTTTAGGGTAGTCAATTTCTGCCTGCTGAATTTCTGAAACTGTTCTGGCTTGGCATTTTATTCTTTTCTTAGGAAATATGGAACACCAATACTTCTTTAAATTTTGCATTATCTTTGGTGGAGATGGCAAAACTGAC